TCATGTTTCCTAGCTCTTCTCCTTTCCCTCTCTTGATTAGTTAGTCCTTGAGATCCTGCTTTCCTTTTACTTGTATTTTATCTTTCTATTTGTATTTCTTCTTTGGAGTTCTTATACTAGGGAGATTATACGATATTTACACATGTGTGAATAGACATAATTTTTAAAAGTATTTTAGGTTTACAGAAAAATTGTGCACTCTATCCTAATCAAAGACAAATCTTAAATCAATATAAAAATTATGTTGTTATAAAATTACAGATGTTATTTTTTGCATTCATCTGCCCATAAAATATTCTAAAATATTTTCATTAATACATTAGAAGTTTTTGCTTGTTAATATTAAAGATAGTCATTATTATATTAGTTATTTGGCAATAAGAAAAAAGAATCTCAGTATAAAAAAGTTTTATTGAGTATTATTTTGGCTTCATGGAAAAATATGATTTGGGGAGACTAAGAAATGTTATATGTATGTAGCTGTTTATTTATATATTGACTAAGTCATTTAACAGTTGTATTGAGGGGCTGGGAAGATAGCTTAGTAGAATAAGTGCCTGCTTGGCAAGCATAAGGTCCTGAGTTCAATCCCCAGTACCACCCAAAAAAACCAACCAAACAAACAAAAACAAGTCATACTGAGTTGTCCTTTTGTGCAAATCTGTGTGTATGTACAAAGCAATTGTTCAGTCTCACCACGGAAGCACAAAGGCCTTCTCCCACTGAATGCATAGGTCATGTCAATTACATCTTGAAATTCCTTCATTGCGTGTTTGGCAGCACGGTGCATGATAGCTAAATCTCAGAGGCAGGCTATGTGTCCATTAACAGATGAATTGATAAAGAAAACGTGGGACTCACACACAGTGGAGCACTACTCTGCCTTAAAGGTAAACTTGAGTCATTTGTCAGACACAGAAGCTTAAATATTGCATAGCCTGTCTCATATAAGAAACTCAAATTACTGATAAAGAGCAAAATGAAAGATCGTAGGAAGTAGAGATTTTTATCCAATGGGAAAGAGATGAAGAGGTGGAGGTGGAGAGGACCAAAAGGGGGATGAAGAGAGAAATTCAGATGTGTTGCGCAGATGGACCAATGTAAACAATATAAAGTGCAAATATTTTACTAATAAAAATAAACATAAAAAGGCAGCAAATTGAAGTTGCCTAGAAAATAAATAGCCTTTCATGAAGCACCTATCACCGGGTGTGATGCCCCGTGCCTGCATCCCAGCACTGAGGAGGCTGAGACGGGAGGATCTCTTCCAATGAGAGGCCAGCCTGGATTACATAGTGAGTTCAAGGACAGCCTGAACTACTTAGCGAGACTTTATCTCAAAAACAAGCTAGCAAACAAACAAAACACGTATCTTTAGTTATCCTATTTGGAGCGGCACAAAAATAACACAAAAAATATTTTTTCACCTTTGAATTTGTAGCTATTGTCTTTCAGAAGTATAACTGAAATGAATATTATTAAATAAGATTGTTCTAAAATATTTGAAGTGGAGCTCAGTTATAATTAACATAGTTGTGAAGTCCCAAGAATTTTGTCACCATCTTTGGTAAAAACTGATCCTGAGAGATTAGAGATAAATACACTGATACCAACTCCAACTCCTGCACTGTACAAAGGCGGCAACACTGTAATACAAGAAACTGGGGAACAGCACAAGCAAACCCCATCTTTGCGCAGATGATGAATGAAAATGGAATTAGTACTTCAAATGATCACTGAAAAGTTTACAACATTTTCAAAATAGTGTACAGACGTAATTTAATTTATACCTGTGTGTTTGTGCAAAGTTAAAACGCTGAAATCTTACAGTCAAATTATCTGAATCGGTTAAAGCAAGCATTGTTATTTGGCATCTGAATATTTGCCATGATGAATATCTTATTTTGATAACAGCAGTTTATTTAGTGGTACAGAGTACACCAAGCTACATCCTCAGGTCTTTTTAATTTTTAAAAACTTTTTAAACAGGTTCTTGCTAAATCACTTATCTGCCCCAGATAACAAGACTCAATCTTGTTACATTCCCGCCTGAGCCCTCCAGGATGCTGGGATTACAGGTGTGCACCAGCACATCTGGCTCAATTTCACTGTTTTTGTGTCTGGAAATTATATCTTCAAATTCCTCACATGTCGCGTTTGGTAAACTGATTTGTTACAAAACAGATTTTTTTTCTTTTAAAATTTAATTTCGGGTTTTCACTCCTTACGTCGCTCCCTCTCGTGTTGTAGAAAAAAAGCCTCTCTTAAAAAAAAAAAAAAAAAAAAAAGAATTTAAGTCACCTAGACGGTTCAGATTTCTGACTTACAGGTCTTTGTTGCCATCTGCTGGTTATGTAGTTTAGTTGCATTTTTTTTATGCTGAGGAAGGAAGGGGGCGGCCGTTGGGACCCCCTTCCCCCTCGCATGCCCTCCCCCCTAACGGCGGCCTTAACGGCGGCGGGCGAGTCCTGAGGCTGCGCGGGAGTTACGAACTCGGAACACGCACCGTGAGGAAATGGTCAAGCGCAGGAGGAAGAAGCGCGTCGAGGCGTGTTCGCAGCCTCGCCGGACCTCCTGCGCCAGGGAAGGGGCGGCCGAGGCAGACGAGGAGGCTTGCGTGGACGGGGCCCCTGGGAGCCTGGCCGGCCTCGCGCAGCCCCTGTTCTCGGTCCTGGAGCGGCTCTGCGAGAAGGCGCGCGCCCTGCACACGCCCGGGACCCGCCGGGGCGCCCTGCTGGGGCTCGGTGAGCGGGCGGGAGGGCGGGGAGGGCGCGGGCCCGAGGGGGGCGCTGCTCCTGGACCGAGATGGGCGACGGGGTTGCAGGGGGCGCTGCTCCTGGGTGGAGGTGGGATGGGGCTGCAGGGAGGGGAGTGGGTGGGAGGGCTCGGCCTGCAGGGCTGCAGCTCCTGGACGGAGATGGGAGATGGGCCCACAGGGGCGCTGCACCTGGATGGAGATGGGGGACAGGGTTGAGGGGTCGCTGAGGCCTGGACTGAGGTGCAGGGACGTGCCCTGCGCTAGAGCCACTGAAGCCTAGTGCACAATACTGTACTCAGCACTCGGCCCTGTCAAAAAAAAAAAAATTATCTTAGGACAGCCAGCGCCGTAGTTTGTAAAAATGACTGGCTGCCTCTTATGGACAGACAGTATCTTGCTCTGCATTAAAATAAAATAAAGGAAGTGGTTTCCTCCGAGTTTTCTCCAGTGCGTATTAGTTTTACCAATGAAGGGTTTCATTTTGGCAGGTTTTTAATACACATAACGTGATTTCATCATTCTCACCATCACCCCCCACCCTAGGTTCACTGGAGAGGGGGAAGGATGTTCAGTGTGTGTAATGTATTTTGATCATATCTCTGTTGTTTTAACTAGTAGAGATCATTAATAGTGGAATTATCCCCAGGGACTGTGTCTGTTGTGTCTCCATCTTTCTTTTCTTATTTTATTGTCACGACCTTTCAGAGACATTGAAGACCATTTTTAGCATACAGGCAGTAGAAAAACAGGCCATTGTCTGTAGTTTGCCCATTCTGATGTAAAATAAGTAAATCTTCTGAGAAGTGTTGAAAATGAAGACAGCAGAAGTTGTACGAGCAAAGAGCTGACACATGCTTGGGAATTTCAATATTGCAATATTTATTTATTTATTTATTTATTTATTTATTTTTGCGGTACTGGGGATTGAACTCACAGGACGCTGTACTTGCCAGGCAAGCGCTTATTCTACTGAGCTATCTCCCCGGCCCCTCAAACATTACAATTTTTAATTGAATTTCTTTTGTTAGCCACCCTGAGTAACTTTTGAATTTTTTAAGAGATTAAAGTTGGTGGTTTGTAGGATGACTTTGGACAGTTATATGAAATACCATTGCAAAATCTTAGATGGAAGCAGGACATCTTAAATATTTAAGTAAATTCATTTCTCTATGACCATGAGGAGTGGATACTTGGAAAATTATCAAAATCAGTATTTCCAAAACTCTGGAAATGAACCCAAAGCTCACAGCAACCTAAAGTGCTTTAAAAATAGGTTTTAATTTGTTCCCTCTGCATTTCCTGTCCCCGGGCCTGTGAAGTCGCCTTCCTGAGGAGTGGGCTGAGCATGCAGCTCTTCAAGAAGCCCCTCCACAAGGGCAGTGTCCCTGTGGCTCTGTCTCCCCGTTCCATCCAGGTTGGGCGAGTGCTGGGCCATCTCAGTGCCAGACTGTGAGCTGATAGTTCCTCAGGGCTGGCGGTGCAGCAGGGCTCTCAAGAGCCTGCTGAGGAAGAGCCTTAACTATCCTTGATGACACTGAGAAGTATGAGGTCTAGACTGACTCCTGTGGGCCAGAGTTTTCCTAAAAGAATCTTGTTGAGTATTGTGTATGTATCTGCTTCTCCTGAAATTTGCATACAGAAAACAAGAGACAATAGGGGAAAATACTGAAGAAAAAAAAAAAAGAAAAAAGAAAAGAAAAAAGAAACACACAGAAAACTAAAAATCATCTCTTTCATCACTCTTTTACAGATGACCTCAGAGGGAGGTGCAGACCCTCCCAGCCTCTCCCTTTGCTCCTGTCCTGTTTCCCTGAGCATGAGGAGAGGCTAGCAGGACTCCTGATCTCCTGCAGGTCCAGGAGCGGTCCCTGTGCTCTTAGGACAGAAGCAGTCGCCACCTGGCCTCATGCTGCTCTCTCTAGACATGAAGCAAGTGCATCTGAAATGCTTGGTTTAAAGGAATTTATAAAGCAACTTCTAATGCCTTTCTTTCCTTTTCTATTTTTCCAGCTTCCCTTGTGGGAATTTTGCATTGGTAAGACTTTCCTTTCAGTTTGACGTTTAAAAAAAAAAAAACAGTTGGATTAAAATTTGCCATCAGAATTTGCATACATAAATCAGTGTTTGATTATGTGTATAGAACCTCTGTATGTGTACAAGTGTATGCAAATGTATTACTTTTTATTGTACAAGCCTCCCATGTAAAGCAGCATTTACAAAATAGATGCATTAGGGAAATGGTATTTTATGAATTAAAATACCTTTGCTTTTCTGAAGAATTTACCACTGTGTGTGTGTTTGTGTGTGTGTGTGTGTGTGTGTGTGTGTGTGTGTGTTTCCTGAAGGATCTCACTTTTCTAGCATAGTTTTAGGTTTACTTACTCGTTTCCTTATTTTATGCTGGTGGCAAGTGTGTGCTAGTTTTTAAATATTTTTATTTAAAAACTGATTTAAGGGGCCGGGGAGATGGCTCAGTGGAATAAGAGCTTTCCTGGCAAGCGCAAGGGCCTGAGTTCAATCCCCGGTTCTGCAAAACAAACAAACAAACAAACAAACAAAAAACACCCAAGTATGTGCTAGAGATAAAGCCTCTGCAATCCTCGCCAACTGGAAGGCAGCAGCAGTGAGCAGAAGCTTCTTTCTTGTTGGTGGAGAATTAAATGACTCTGAGCCTTCAGTAGGTATGCACCAGTCTGTGTTTTATAAAATGATCTATTTGTAGCCATCATACAGAAAATGACAGTATTTTCCCTCTGGACTGCTCTCCTTTTTCTCGAGCTCCGGGGGCTTCTACTCCTGGGAAGGCTGAGGTCTCTCCCCGTTCTAACGGCACAGTGCTGCCTTGTGCAGTGGGCCTGCAGGAGCTCTGGTGTCAGCACTAAGGCCGGGGTGCTAGGCAGCGGGGCACCAGGGGCTGTAGGTGCACATGGCCCTCACGGAAACGGTGGGGAACCAGAGTTCTGTTTTCTTTTTGACTTCATTAAAAAGCACTCCATAAACTCACATAAGTGCTAACTATAACTAATTTGTTTGTCACATGTGATCCTTTCGTCACTACCTGTTCCTGTTGAGTTACACCACTAAAATATCTTTCAGTCCAGTCCTGTGTTCTTTGGCATTGGATGTTGATCCTTTATGTGATGTTTTATTTATTTAAAAACTGATTTAAGGGGCCAGGGAGATGGCTCAGTGGAATAAGCTCTTCCCTGGCAAGTGCAAGGGCCTGAGTTCAGCCCCTGGTTCCGCAAAAAACAAAAAACAAAAAAACAAAACAAAACAAAAAAAACCTGATTTAATCTCAAGTGATTTTACATAAAATTATATTCTGAGCATTTTTCAACAGTTACAGAGATATTTCCCAATCCTGGTACATTTATATCACTTGTTAAACAAAAACCTGCCTGTGCTCTCATTCAGAGGCCTGAGGTAGAAGGAAGAGGAGAAACCACAAGGATTATAATACACACACGAGTAAGATTAAGAACAGAGTTAAGGGATTTCACTGTGCTGCTCTGGATTATGTATGCCCCGAAACATTGTTTCTAAGCAACTATTGCATTGGCTAATTTCAATATTTGTTAGAAAAAGTTTATTCTTTCCATTCCATAGCTTTCTTACTATGTTTATCCATGATTTTGTTATTGCAGAAGTGATTCTCAAACCTATTCTTATTATAATATACTTTTTCATTTTTTTCCCCAAGGGTACATCTAACAACACTTTTTGAGAATGATCGTCGTTTTTCTCACCTCTCAACTTTGGAGCGAGAGATGTCATTTCGCAATGAAATGGTTAGTTCTTTCTCCTAATGAATTAATGTGTGCTTTAAGAAGGGTAAGACTATGAAGTAGAAGCTTCATAGGAAGGAAATGATTTCTTTATCATTTTTTTCTTTTTTGGTGGTACCAGGGTTTGAACTCAGGAGCTTGTGCTTGCCAGGCAAGCACTTATTCCACTGAGCCATCTCCCTCGCCCCAAAGGAAGGAAATGATTTTGATAAAACATGTCACACATTTCTCCTCTCTGACTACGTGAATTTTTCAGAAAAGTAGGCACTTCATCCTCTACCTTGATTTTCATCTGGACAATCCCTGTAATGCTTTGAAGATCAGAATATGTGAACATTTGTGTGACATTTGAATATTTTACAAGTATTATTTCCAGTGATAAGATATAGTGTTATTAAATATAGAGGATAGCTTTGGCAGAGGCTGGACTTTGGTGACAAATCATTGGGTCCAGGTAGCTGCACCGGTTTATTGTATGATGATTGGTCAGTTACCCTACTGATTCTGCGTCCTCTCATCTGTTAATTAGAAATAATGCCAACCACACAGGGTTTTTGTGAGAAATAAAGGAGACAAGTGAACAGAGGCATAAATCAGAGTGCCTCATACAAAATAATAACTTGTTATTAATAACAACCTACATCCTGCAATCAAAATACATGGTAAATGTTTAAAGATTTAAAAATTATTTATTTGTTTGTTTACTTATTTGGTACAAGTTCTTGCTACATAGCTCAGAATCATAGTGATCCTCTTGTCTCAGCCTTCCCAGTGCTAGGATTACAGGCGTGCACCACCACGCCTGGTTTCAGTGGCTGGCACAGTGCACCAGGGATTCCGGGGCCAGCATGGCATGTGGTGCCAGGGATTGAACCCAGGTCTTTGTGCTTGCCAGGTAGGCTCTTAGACCACCAAGCTATCTTCCCAACCCCGAATATTTAAATTTTTACAAATGTATGACAGTACGTATACATCCATTTTCTCAACAGTGGGACAAAATACCTGATGCCCACAGTTAAGAGGAGAACTTTATTGTGACTCGTGATTTCAGCCCTAGCCCACAGGCTCCAAGGCAGGGCAGCATGGTAGAGGGGCATGGCATGGCAAAAGCTGGTAACCTCCTAGGGAATAGGAGGCAGAGAGGGGCCAGCAGGAGATAGAACTTTCCAGGCCATGACCACAGTGACTGCATTTTCCCAGCAGGCCCCACAAGGTGCTTTAAAATCCTCGAGTTCAAATCAGCCACAATTTTATGACCTAATGAAGCCACAGTTTTGTATTTGGAAGGGGCCACTAAGATCTCAGCTCACATCTCTTAAGGAATAACCTGTCATGGGGCTGGGGAGATAGCTCAGTAATGTAAGTGCCAGCCTCACAAGTATGAGGTCCTGAGTTTGATTCCCAGTACCAAAAGAAAAAAGAAAAGGAGGAGGAGGAGGAGAAGGGGAAGGGGAAGGGGCAGGAAGAGGAAGAGGAAGAGGAAGAGGAAGAGGAAGAGGAAGAAGAAGAAGAAGAAGAAGAAGAAGAAGAAGAAGAAGAAGAAGAAGAAGAAGAAGAAGAAGAAGAAGAAAGAAAGAAAGAAAGAACATGTCATGTCATGTTCATAAGTGCACTATGGGAACGGGACTTTGTGGTTCTGTCTCACTGCCCAGCCCCAGGTCAGTCTCTGCACAAAATGAAAGGTAAACATCAGGTCATTTTCTAATAATGCTTTAAAATATGAGCATAATATACTTTTGATTATAACAAATCCAATTTTGCCCCTTGCTTGGAATGTGTTGTATCATAAATTCTGTCATATATATGGATGTCTTCACGACCCTGTGCAACTTTGCATAAAATCACTTCATTTCCCCCACGCTCTTTTTTTTTTTATAATTTTTATTTATTTATTAATTTTGTATGTGTGTGGCCAGCTCAGCCCACCAGGGGGCGGGGCTGGCTGGCATGTGGTGCTGG